CCACTTGTGTGTTGGAAACGGGGGTGGGGTCTGCACTTGATGGAATCAGCCAGATATGGAATCTTGGGCTCTGACCCTGGACAAGTCACTTGACCTCCTTGGGCCTCAGTTCCCTTCTCTGTAAAACAAGGGGATTGGGTGAGACAGGCTCTGAGAAACCTCTACTCTCCAGGCCTGGACCCCTCCCCATGACACACAGCCCTCAATGCAGGCAATGAGGAAGAGAGGAGGAAGAAACAGGGAGGGGCGGGGGCGGGGCCTCTGGGGGCGGGACTCCAGGACGTCGGGTCCGCTCCTTACGCCTCCATCGCTTCATGGGCGGGCCGAGGAGCGCTAGAGCCAATGGGAGCAGCTGAGGATGTGTGGTGGGTGGGGCGACGTCAACCGTATTTGTGGGCCCAGTAGGCGGGACTAGGAGCAGCGTGGACCAATTGTAAGCTCCTGGAGGCGGGAGAGGGGCGTGGCCCGGGCAGGAGAAGGAAATGGCGGCGCGGGTGTCGGGCTTTGGAGCTCCCGTGAGTGTTCTGGCGGACGTGGGGGGCGGGGGGGCGGAAGGGGGGGTGCAGAGGCGGTGCGTGGGGGCGGGGCTTCGTGCCCCGGTCCCTCCCCTAAAATCAAGGTTGGGGGGCGGGGGGACGCCGGCCTTTTTTGCGGAGCCCAGTACGCGGGGCTTCCCCTGGTTGCGGGGAAGAGAGATTCCTTCTGCCTCAGTTTCCCCTGGGTGGGTGAGAATCTGCCCCTCCGCAAGCACCTCCACGGGCGGACCCTCTTCTCCTGTCAGCCTCTCCTTCCCCACTGGGAGGGACCCCCCCAACGCCGGACACCCCAGTGTCAGTCCCCCAATGTCAAAGACACCCCAGGTCCCCAATGTCAGAGACCCCCCAGTGTCCCCTTTTATCGGTGGCCTCCAATGCCCCCTAATACCAGATCCCCTAGTGTCCCGAAGGTCCGATCTTCCAGCATCCCCAATGTCAGAGACCCCCACTGCTCACCAATGTCAGAGACCCCCCCACTGCCCCCCAGTGTCAGACCCCTACTGCCCCTCAGTATGTCAGAGACCCCCATTGTCAGAGAACTTCACTGCCCTCCCGTGTCAGAGACCCCCGGCTGTCCCCCCCCAGGTGGTGAATTGAGTAATCCAATGAGCCTGAACTCAGATCCAGCTTCAAGCCCCTGCTAGCTGTGTGAACCTAGGCACGTCTCCTATATCTGCCTCAGTTTTCTCAATTGTAAAATGGGAATCATAGCAGCACCTATGTCACCAGGCTGTTGTGAGGATCAAATGAGATCATATTTGTAAAGTGCTCACATAGTAGGTGATTAATAAATGCTTTTGTTCCCTTCCCCCAGTGTCCCCCAGTGGAAGACAAACTCCCAGGGTCCCCAATGACAGAAGCCCCCCCCATGCCCTTTCCCCGTTGACTGAGAACCCCTCCCCCAAGTATCCCCACTCTCAAGAAGCCCGCCCCAGGCTATCCCCACTGTCAGAGATTCCCGACCCACCCAAGGGAGTTCAGAGATCAGCTAGTCAAGTACCAGCCTGGGTGACTTTTCCATGTCCTGCCCATCTTCCCCCAGGCACAGAAATGCCCCTCCTCCGTCTGGTCCCTCACCTCTGCCAGCTGTGTCCCCGATGCCCTCCTTCTGCCAGGCCCCTCAGCTCCACTGTCTGCCTGAGGTGAGTCTGGGCAGCGGAGGGAGAGACCCTGGCCCCAGGCCTGGCTCTGGTCCTGTCCAGGACGCAGGCTCTCCAGGGCCATGCCCTCTTTATATCATGAGGGGGTTGGACCAGGGGGTCCCCGACTCATCCCTTTTCAGTGGTTTTCTGCCTGTTTGGCTACGGCCCCTCCCAGCTCCCACAGTCTATGCCCCATAAAGCGCACCGCGTTTGGGACCCAGAGGACAGGGTTTGATCCCCTTTCTGGGCCTCTGAGTTTCCCCATCTGTAAAACAAGGGTGTTGGTCCCTTGTAAGAGAGGCTGGCTTGATCTGCTCAGGGCCCTTCTGTCTGCCCAGCCCCAGACCCTCTCTGGGGTAACCAGGTATGTTCCCATTATTTCTGAGATTCCCAGAACTATCCAGTCCCCACCCCCCATCTTCTGTGCAGGGCAAGACAGAGTAACTATTATGAGCTTCTGGGGATCCGTCCAGATGCCAGCATGAAGGAAGTCAAACGGGCTTTTTTTGCCAAATCCAAAGAGGTGTGTCTGGGCCAGAAGGCTTTGGTGGGAGCTTTGGGATCTGGGGAAGGAGGGAGGTGCTGAGGCTGGCATTGCCACCCCCATTCCATTGCCTCACCCGCCCCCAACTCTTTGCAAGAGCTGAGTAGGGAAAGGAGCCTTGGGCTCTGAGTCAAAAGACCTCTGTTCTGACGCTTGTAAGCTTTGTGACCTTGGACAGGTCCCAGGCTTGGTGTGGGCAAAGATTCTGAGAACCTTAGCTCCAGGGGGCCCTGGGGAAGCAGGGGGTGTAGACGCTGTCCTCTACTCGAAGTCCTAGGCACTGGGGGGGACTCAGGACCCGGGAAGTCACGTTTTACTAAGCTCTATCAGCTTTGGGGGAGAACGACCTTCCCTATCAGTCCCAGGGCGTCTGATGAGTGGGAGGGAGTGCCACGGGCAGGCCTGGCCCTCGGGATCAGTGGGGAGCTGGGGTCTCAGAGGAGACTTTAGAGAGATAAGGAAAGACAGGATTGGAGGAACCTGGAATACCCTTCCCTGTCCTGCCTTTTCGGTTGAGAAATGTCTGGGCCTGGAGCCAGGCTGGGGCGTGTGGTAAGTGCAGGGGCCTCACTACGGACACCCAGAAGGCTGGGGGGGAGCAATCTTTGTGCCATTTTCATCCCCTTTGTCCTACAAAATTCAGTCATTCACTCGTTCACATATTTATTAGGCCCCTACTGAACCATATGCTGGGGAGCCACAATGTTTGGGTGAGACCAGTAGCCTCCCCTCATGGAGCTTACAGTCCCCAGATCCCTGTAATATACGGGATTACCAAGTCCATTCAGCAAAGAAGCATACAATAGGGGATGTGGAGCGGGGGAAGAGTCTCCTAGCCTGGGGAAACCCAGGGAGGCTGTATGGAGGAGATGGACTGCTAGGGTAAGACTTAAACAAGGGAAAAGATGGATGGAGACAGGCATCATTCCACTCCCATAGCCTCCGAAATAGGGCACCAAGTTTGGGCTGGGATTAGAAAGAAAAGGTATCGTGAAGCCGTTACAGGGGAGGCCTGGGCTTAGGGGAGGAATAAGACAGGCTGGGAGAACCCCCCTCACAGATACCCTTCTCCCCACCCCTACCCGCAGCTGCACCCTGACCGAGACCCAAAGAACCCTGCCCTCCACAACCAGTTTGTGGAGTTGAATGAAGCCTACCGGGTTTTGAGCAAGGAATCCAGCCGGCGAGACTATGACAGCCGGCTCGACGTTCGGGGCTCCACGCCACCTCCCTATCACACCTCCCAGTCTCCCTACCAGAGCTACCGCCCTGCCTCTGCCTCTGCCTCTGCCTCTGCCTCCGGCTCCAGGTGAAGGCCAGACTCCCCAGCCCCCAGCCCTCCGCTCTCTGTATCCCCCCTGCTTCGCTGGCCGTTTGCCACCAACCTGTTCCCACCGCAGCCCACGGCTCTCCTCCCAGCCCCCAAGGATGCCCTCTCTCTGCTATGCCTGTTCCCTTGCAGCTCCTGGTCCTCAGCCGATGCTCGGTACTGGGCCCAGTTCCACAGGGTGCGTCCCGAGGACTATGGAGGCTCTCGGCAGAGGCAGCAGCGGCAGAACCATCAAGTTCTGGGATACTGCCTCCTGCTGATGGTGGGAGGCATGGTGATGCACTACATTGCCTTCAGGTAACCTGCCCTCAGCAATCGGGAAGAGCTCAGGGGGTGACCGCCCGCCTCGGAGGAGAAGCAGACGCCTAACCTTGTTCCTCCTGCAGAAAGCTGGAGCAGGTCCACCGAAGCTTTATGGATGAGAAGGACAGAGTTATCATGGCCATCTACAACGAGAGCAGAAGCAGGGCCAGGTCTCTGCCCCCTTCTCCTCCGAGGAGCCCGGCATTTAGAACTCCAGAGTGGGAGGGCTGGGTGCTGTGGACACTCCCCACTACATCCGTGCCCACAGACCTTGAGGAAGCGTCGCCCCCTGGGCGCAGAGCCCTGTGGCCGCGTGGAAACAGATACAAAATTGAAGGCAGCCTGCCTCTGCCCCTCTTAGATGGACCTCCTTGTAAATGTTATTCTATGTCCCAGATCCAGAGACGAGCAAAGCCAAGAGCTTCGGGAAGTCCAGAGTAGGGGGAGGCATGAACGAGGAGGGACAGGCTTCCTGGGGGAAGGGCACTGAGCCTGGGCTGCCCAGAGCAGGTCGGAAGAATTTAGCGAGTGAAGGGGGACGAGGAGGACGCGGCGGTCTCGGAAAGAGCTGAGCAAAGGCACGTAGGGAGGAACAACGCGTTCCCAGATCCAGGGACTCCCTCTCAGTCTCGAGGCCCGGCTCTCCTCTTTCCCTGCCCTCGGGCCCTCCCCCTGCTCCTGGGGTCACCTCAGACTTTCCCCTCCAGGGCGAACAGCGCCAGGCTCCAGCAGGAGAGACTGCAGAAGCCCCAGAGCCCCCAGCCGCACCCCGGGAAATGACCTGCGACCCTTCTTCCCTTCCCGGCCCCCGGCCCCGGAGAGGGTGACAGGGGCCCGGTGCCCATCTGGACCGTTGCTGCCCGTGTGCAATAAAGTCATTGTCAGTGGGTGTCTGACTCCTCCCTTGTGCCTCCGGTCTTCCCGCAGGCCTTGCCTTCGGCCAGGGTCCGGCTCTGGGCGCTGCCCCTTCGGCGGCCGGAGCCCTCTGGGCTTCTTCCCTCCCACGTGGGCGGTAGCCCCAGGCGTGAGCGAGAGCTGTCCACCCGGTCAGAGCCAGCAGACTGGGAGGGAGGGAGGGGGCGTGTGCAGCCCTAGGGGGAGCGGCCCGGGCTGGGGGTGCGGGCCGCGGGCAGCCCGCCCCCTCTGCCCCCCCCCCCCTACCCCCTTCCCGGCCGCCGCCCGGCCCCCCCCCCCCCGGCCGGGGGGGGGGGAGCGCGTGTCTGGGTCACATGAGCTGCCCGGGCTCGGCCCCCCGCAGCCCCGGCCGCCCGTGTCCCCGCCGCCGCCACCGCCGCTGCCTCCTCGGGCACCGCGCCGCAGCTTGCGCCCCGCGGCCCCGCCATGGGGCTCCCCTCGCGCCTGCCCCCACCCCCGGGCTAGGACGATGCGGGAGCCCCGCGGGCACCATGAGCCCCCTCCTACTGGCCGCCCTGCTGCTGCTGCTGCTGCTGCCGCCGCTGCCCCCCGGAGCCCCGGCGCAGGTAGGTGCGCCCTCGCTCCCGCTGCCCTCTCCCAAGGTTGACGGAAGGAAGTGGAGCCACGGCGCGGGCCGAGGCCCCTCGTGGGGTGGGTCCGGGCCAGTGCCAGCGCCGGGCTGCCCTGGGCATCCATCACGCAAGAACCAACCCTCGGGCACCCGGGACGGCCGAGGGCATCGGCGGGGGACAGGCACCCCTGCTGGCACCGCCAGCCTTGGCTGGGGGGGTGTTGTCTCCCCTCTGGTCCCTTCCCCCTTGCACCCTCTTCTCTGGACTAGCCCCGGGGCGGGAACCGCGTTCTCCTTTCTGGTAGGATCCGGCCTCTTGCCAGCCGTGCCCCTCCCTGACCCTGGCTGGCTGGACAACAACGGCCAGAGGGCACGGGGCCCACGGGTGAGGGAGCTGCCGAAGAACACGGAGCTGGGCTGATGTATTGATCGATGCTTCGGCAAATATTGACTGCGGGCCGAGCCTAGGGAGGCAGTGCCCTCCAGGATGGGGAGGGCACCCATCGGTATTAGCTGAGAAGCAGCTCCCACCGAGAGTAGAACCCTGGGTTTGTAACCAGGAGGCAGGCTCAGAGTCTAGCCCTATTTCAATGCAATTCAAGGAGCTTTTCCCTAGCACCTTACCATTGACTGGGCAAGGCAAGGAGGTGGGGTGGGGTGACAAATGAAACAGTTGGCTACTTGCTGCCTATGTGACCTTGGACTAGTCGGTTCTCTCTGCGCCACTGTCCACCCCCAGAAACTGTGGGCATTTGCCTACAGGTTCTCCAAGGGCCCTGGTAGCTCCCAGTAGATACTAAGTTTCTGGATAATAGAGTTTCCACGTCTACAGTGTGATTTCTCCAAAGACTTAGCTCAGGGCTCTGCCTGTGGCAATTCATTAACAGCTGGAAGGAGTCTGAATTTAGCGCTGGAACAGAGCGTAAAGTCATGTCCAACTCCTTCCTTTCAGGTGTAGATACTGAGGGCCAGAACTGTCACCCCAGCAGCAAGGGATGAAACTGGGATTTGAACCCAGGCCCTCTGACCTCCAAATGAAGTAGCATTGTTTTCCTTACATCATAGTCATTGAATTGAATTGGATCCACATGCAGAGATAACTTACAATGCCCAAAGTGGCTTGCATTTCTTCTGAGATGTTAGGGAGAGGTGACTATGGTAGGGTGGTCAGGGAAGGAGTCATAGAAATGACATCTCCTTTTCTGGAAAAGGGGTGAAGCCCTAGGGAACAGTGAGGATCTCCTCAGGAAGTGGCAGGGTTCTAGGACTGGGTGACAGGTGCCCCCCACCCCACCCCCGTTCCCATGTTCCATTATAGAAGCCTAAGGTCTTGTTTCCCCTACAGACTTTCAGTTCCCCACCCGAGGGGCCCCACCACCAACAGAAAGGTAAGAGGATGAAAATTAGGAGGGAGTCTATGGGGAGATAGCTCATTCTAGGATCTGAGGTCTAGAAGGGAGGGCTGGAGCTGAGATAATTGCATCTATTCTGGGTGTCGGGAAGGGTAAAAAGAAGAGCAGGCCAAGTCCTGGGAGGAGGAAGAGAGACATTTTGGAAGAGTGCTTAGGAAAAGGCAGTTCTCCTTTCCTCAGTGGTTCCCTGGCTGGAGGTGTTCAGCCGAGCCTCCTGCCAGCCCCGGGAGGTGCTGGTGCCCTTGAGCCTGGAGTTCCCAGGCGAGGTGGCCCACCGGCTGGTGCCTAGCTGCGTGACCTTGCAGCGATGTGGAGGCTGCTGCCATGATGAGGCTCTGGAGTGTGTGCCTACTAGCCAGCGCCACGTCCGAATGCAGGTACTGGTGTGGTATGGGGAGGCAGCAGTGGGGACCCTGTCGGAGAAAGCGTCTGGCCATTCCATGGGCAGCGTCAGCCTCTAGATGGTGGCATTGCTGGAAGCTCAGAGTGGGCGCTAGGTCCTGACTGCATTCTGCTGGCCTAGACCTCCTCATGGCTCACGAGCATAGTGGAAAGAGCCCCAGCTTTGGAACCAGACACCTTGAGCTTCAATCCTGCCTCTGCCATTCACATTACTTGTGTTACCTTGGACAGGTTACCTGGGGGTCATTTTCCTTGTCTGGGCCTCAGTTTCCTCATCTGTAAAATAACTGGAGATCCCTTCCAAATTTAAAGTCCCACGTCTTTGTAGTTTGTCCCTGGGATTTCCCCCCTTCCCCCCACCCACAGTTCTCTCTCTGTCTCCCAAATCTTCACTCCGAGGACAGATCCTGATGATCAGGTACCTGAGCAGTCACCTGGGGGAGATGTCCCTTGTGGAGCACAGCCAATGTGAATGCAGGTAGGGAGGGGACAGGGGAGAAGGGGTCAAAAGAAGGCTGGAGGGGCAGAAGGCTAAGGCTGGGAGTGGGGCTGAGGGAAAGCATGACATCTGTCAAGGGCCTAGATCCTCACTCTCCCTTCTTGCTTTTCAGACCAAAAAAGGACACTTTCGTGAAGCCCATCAGGTGAGCTCATTGCTAGTCTCCCCGTTTGGGCTACAGAAACATCGCGGGTCAGGAAGCTGTCATTGGAAGTGCCTTATTCGGCTTCAGCACCATCGCCCGAGGTCCCTAGAGATCCCCTTTGCTCTGACCCTGTTCCTGCCTCAGGGATTGGGAAGCCTGGCCCTCCTGCCCTTAGAGATCTTGCCTCTCCCCTCCTACACTTCCTACTCCTTGGCCTCAAGCTAACCACGGGACTCCTTCCTTTTGCTGCTGCCAGCCCCAGGCCCCAATGTCCTAGATGTGCCCAGAGACGCCAGCGCCCCGATCCTCGAACCTGCACCTGTCGCTGCAGACGCCGAAGCTTATTGCGTTGCCAAGGGCGGGGCCTAGAATTCAACCCAGACACCTGCAGGTGAGTAGAATGGGACCAGGTCAGAGAGGGAGGAGGAGGCCAAGGAAAAGAATGGGCAAGTCTTCTGAAGAAGGTATTTCCAGGAGCAGGAACAGGCACAAGCTTATTCCCACAAACAGACAAAACCCCACACCCCCAAACTCAGGGTTGGAAGGAGCGTCAGAGGACTTCTGGGCCCATCCTCGGGTATATGTAAGTCAGAGGAGCAGGGGTGGAAATCAAGGGACAAGATAGTCTGAACTTTGTGAACCAGAGTTCACAGGATTCAGAGTATGAAGAAATCTTAGGGTTCATCTAGTCCAACGCCAGAGGATCTGAGGGTCTGAGAAGCAATTATGGTGTGGGTGAATACCAGCCAGGTGGAGCAGCCAGGCTGTTATCCTTGCCAACAGCCAAAGGTCACTGAAATGAAGAAGAGCTTAGGATAAGGTTGTGGGGGTCACTTGTCTTTTGTAGGTCTCAGTTATCCCATCTGGGAAATGAACTGAACAAGCTCTCCACAGTCCCCTCCATCCCTGCCATTCTCTGTTCTAAGAACCCTCCCAGCCCTGCCATTCCATGTCCTAAGAGGCCACCCCAGGCCTGCCATTCCGTATTCTAAGGGCCCTCCCAGCCCTGACATAATTCCTTTCTATCATCCTCTCTAGTATGGGGACATAGGCATCCCCCCCCCCCCCCCCCCCCCACTCCACACTTACTCCTCCAAGATTCTGGACAAGCACCATCAGGCTGATTACAGTCCCCTTTAACAAGCACTTGTTAAGCCATTCCTGTGTTTGAGGCTGCACTTGCAGACAAAACAATCTCTGTGACCAGCTAGTTTACCTGCTTTTTAGGATGGGCTCATTCGGGCTTTCTCTGGTTTATGCCTTTGTTTATGTGTCTGAGTTTGACCTTCGTGTCCTACCTCAGGTGCAAGAAGCTTCGAAGGTGACACGGCCCTTCCTGGATTCTGATGGGACATCCCTTCCTCGGCCCCAACCCCACGATGGGATGGGGAGCCCTGTTGGGGCATTGTGCCAATGGCTACAGCGGGGAAGGGAGCTGCTGCTACAGAGGAAGTCCAGACCTCTTGGAGTGATCTGTCACCCTAAGCTGCTATGCTTGGAGGGGAAGGGCAGGGCAGGGCAGGGGAGGTCACTGGTTTGGGGTAAAAGGGATTCAACTCTCTTTATTTAATGCCCTCCCTTGCCCAGACAAACACCGTGTCACTGAATTCCTCACTGCCTTCCCCTGCCAATTGACAGTGGGATGAAGAAAGGTGGGGAAATTCCAGAGCCACCAAGAATGTTCTTGGCTTTGGTACATGGATGGTGTGACCCCCAGACCTCTTAAAAAAGATGAAAAAAGTTGTGACCTAGACTCCTCTCTATGCAGAGATGCATCATCACATGGAACTGTGCCAAGCCTACCACCGTCCTGCTACACTGTGGGAGGCATGGGGGGGGGCCTCCAGGGATCTCATCCGTGCCTCAAGGTGGAACACCAGCAATGGGATGTTTTTGTTAGTTAATTCTTCCCATACCCTGACAGAAAAGAAACAGGCCAAAAGCTTCACACCTGCCTAACGCCCCCTCCCAAGCCAACCTCCTGCACTGGAAAAGGCCCTTAGAGACCCCCACTGTAGAGAGGAGGAGATGAGACCCAGAAGCTGGAAAGGACTCATTCCCAGTAGGTAATGCAGCCAGCTAGTGAGGGGTATTCATCCCTAGCTCCCAGGTGAAGAGGGAGCACATTCCAGACACAGACCGCCTTGGGCAAATAAACATGGGCAGGAGGTGGAATTTTACCTTCTGACCAGAACACACAGAAGGCCATGGAGGTAGGAGGTAGGACCTAGGATGGAGGTAGGCAGGTGGGCACCAAACCGTGGAGGGCCTTATGGCCCCCTTTTCCTTGTTAGCTCAATCCTCTCCTTTCACCCTTTCCTTCTGCTTCTCCCCTACAGTTTTCTGGGCAGCACCTGTGGTATGAACAGGCTGCTTACTCACCGGCACCTGATTCCTCTCACTCCCCAACCAGACATTCTCACACCCCCACCTAGTTGTTCATCATCCCCTACAGTGGGAAGGGCAAGGGGTCCAGCGAGCTTCCCCCCCCCCCCCCAACCAGGTGTGGGCTAAAGAACCCGGGTCTAAGCAGGCCAACGCTAGAATCACTGAACTTCAGAGCCAGAATGGACCTTGGTGGGTCTCCTGTGACCAAGGAAGCCACCCAGAACAAGCATTGGGTCCGGAGTCTAAGGACCTAGGTTTGAGTCCTGATGGCCTGGGCAAGTCACATGCCTCCTGTGGAGGACAGAAGTCGTTTCTCATTTGTAACAGGAATGGGGTAGACTGTGGCTTATTTATTTCTAAGTCCTTTCAAGGCAATCCTATAACTTAATAGGAAACAGACGTTCCAGGGAAAGTGAGTTCCGGGAGTTAATTAATGGAGACCCAGGATTTTTCCAGTCTAGGGCTTGAGTCTGGACTCTCTTTGAATCAGAACGATGAGGGCACGTCTCTAAAGAACATTTTCAAAGGAGAGCCCCCTTCCCCTTCCCCACCCCCCAAATGTGGCTCTCCGTGACCTTGGGCAGGTTCTCTTCTCTCTGGAGCCTGCTTTCACTTTCTGCACTGGAAATCTGAAAATCCTTAAATCTTAGGATCTAATAGGAAGAGGAGCCCAGGGTTCGAGCCTTGCACACTCCCTCCTCCTGTGGCTCTGACGGTCATGCTGTGGGGAAGGCATACTTTTGAAGCTCTGCCCCGCCAAGGTCATTCCTAACTCTGGCAGCTAAGAGGACCCGTTTCCTGGCTCCTGCCCGGAGGTGAACAGCCTCAGGATCGGCTACCGCCAGCGGCTTGTCTTCCAGTCTGGGCAGGGCCGGGCCAGGACCCAGGACCCAGGACCCAGGACCCAGGACCCAGGACCCAGGACCCAGGACCCCAGGGGGCTGGCCTCCTGGGCCGAGTGGCCCTTCCCTCAAGCCCTAGATCTAGGTTCCTGGGACAAGGGCAAACTGACCGCCGAGGGGAAGGGGAAGGGGAAGGGGAGGTGTCCAGCCCCCTTTCATTGAAGACGGTCAAGCTGGGAATGGACACCCCTTGTTCTGCAGGTTGGGGCAAGGATTCTTATTCGGGGAGGGAGGGACTCGGCCAGATGAGGCTCCCTGCACATGCACGGAAGTTAGGCTACGTGCCTATCATCCAGACGGAGAAACTGAGGCACAGGCACAGCACGTGGGTCATCCAGGGTCGCACGGCCCCCAAGGCCTAGGCTCCAAACCACGGGCCCACTCCCGCACAGGGACAGGCGGAGGCTCCGAGGCAAGGGACTGGCCATGAAGCCTGAGCCAGGAGGGGAAACTGAGGCAGGGCCCACGAGGGGTGGGGAAGGGCTGAGGGCAAAATGGCGCCCAAGCCCTTGAGGCAGCGGGAACTCGCACGACCCGCGCTGCGTCCGGCCGGAAGTAGGGGTGACCCGGTCGGAAGTCGCTCTTAACCCTAAAACCGGGAAGCCGGCACTCGGGTAGGGGCGTTGGGGAGAGGAGAAAGAGTAGAAAGAGGAAGTGACATCACCTCCGGCATGGGTCCGCAGGTTTCACTATCAGACCGACCCCCGCGGCCTCACGTGACAGAGGCGGTTCTGGAGGCGGGACCATGCGCCGCTCTGACCAATGACGGAGGGCGGCGTGGCCCCGGCCGAGGCGTGGTGGCGGCGCGTGCGCAGTGTTGGCGGCGGCGGCGGCGCTGGTCGGGATTCAGGGGGCGCGGTGAGGAGGTGAGCGGGGGGCCGCAGCCCGGGGCGGGGACGGGGACGGGGCCGGGGCCGGGGCCGGGGCCCCGGGGGTCGCCGAGGGACCAGGGCAGCAGGGAGAGGGGCCCCGGGGCATTACAGGCCCGGTGATGCCGCAAGGGGCGGAGTCTTATTCGACAGGGGGCGGGGCCCCAGGCCAAGGGGCGGGGGCTGATCGAGGAGGAGGTGGGGCCCCGAGTCAGGGGCCGGGGCCAGGGCTAACGGACCTTGGAGCTCCGGGGGCGGGACCCGGACCCACAAGGGGCCGGGTCGTGAGCGAGGGCGGGGCCTTGGGCCTGGGGGCGGGGCCGGCCCCGCGGAGACGCGCAGCCATAGGCCAGGAGGCGGACCCTAGCGCGGAGGTGGGCGGGGCATCGGGCTGTGGGGCAGAGCCCCTGAAGAGCGGGGCCCAGGCACCCCGCGGCCGGGGGGATAACCCTGGGAGCCGGGCAGGCCTCCTCCGGGGAGGGCGGGTCTGGGGCCGAGGTCGGCCCCGGACCCCACCAGGAGAGGTGGTGTGGGTGGAAAGGGAGCAGCGGGCGCCAGACCCGGGCCCTGTGTGGGTGCCCCGCAGACCCCCGCGGGCTCAGAGCTGGGGGGGCGCCCCTGGGGGCGGAGGGGGGCAGGCCTGGGGGGTCACCCCCGCGGACAGGGGCTCTCCAGAGCCCCCGGGAGACGTGTGGGTCCCCAGGGGGCGCCCCCCATCCGTTGGAGAGGTGTGGGTGTGCTGGGCTGGAGGGGCTTGGGTGTGGCGGGAGTGGGGGGTGCCCGTGGGGTCTGCAGGGGAGCAGCCAGAGAGGGTCTGGACCTTGCGGAAGGGAGAGGCCACCAAGGGCACAGGAGGAGATTGAAGGGCAGGGGATCAGGGCAGGGAATGAGCGGGATTGGGGGGTGGGATCCGTGTCGACAGCTTTGGGGCAGGACCCCCGGCTGCTGTGTCTTCCCCTCGTCCCCTCCCCCCGCTGCTGGGCTCAAAGGTCAAGCCCCCTTTGCCATGGACAGGTAAGCGTGGCTGCCGAAGCCTGGTGGGGGGGTGGGGGGGATCCCTGAGGGATAACTCACTGATGGAGGGGTGGGCACGCTCTGCTACAAGGGTGGTGGGCACCTGGCTGGTCTCTACCCTTTGCCTGGGATCCTGTGGGGCTTTGGGGGTGAAGTCCCCCACCTCCAAGTGACCACCTCTTCTGTCCTCCCCTGCTTGTGGGGGGTGGCTTTGTGCCCACAGGGTCATGCAGCTGAGCTGGCTTCTGGTCTTCCTGTCCCTCTGCCTGGGTGTCCTGCCCACCAGGGCAGGGGAGGGGAAGCGAAAGCTCCAGATCGGAGTAAAAAAGCGGGTGGACCACTGCCCCCTCAAGTCCCGCAAGGGTGATGTGCTCCACATCCATTACACAGTGAGCAGGCTTGGCTGGGGTTCCATGGAGGGTGGGAGGGGCCCCTCGATGGAGCCCAGGTTCGACTAGGTCACCTTAGATTGTGTGACCGTGAATTGGAGCTCTCCTCCGGCTGCCTTACCCTCCCCCTCTCCCTCTGCAGGGGAGGCTGGAAGATGGCACTGAGTTTGACAGCAGTCTGCACCGTGACCAGCCCTTTGTCTTCTCCTTGGGAACAGGCCAGGTCATCAAGGGCTGGGACCAGGGGCTCCTTGGGTAAGTGTGAGGGGGGTGGGAGTCTGGGAGGTTGGGCCCAGCAATCTGACTGCCAGGGCTGCTCAGGGCTGTGCTTTCCTCCCCCCAGGATGTGTGAGGGGGAGAAGCGGAAGCTGGTGATCCCATCAGAGCTGGGTAAGAGACCAGGGCTTTGGGGTCAGGCCTATACTGCAGTCTTGTGTGGCCTGGTGTCCACAGGCCCAGCCCCTGCCCTCAGGAAGCAGCTGTGTCCAGCTGCCTAGAAAGGCAGGCTGGCAGGGCTGGCTCCACTGCTGACCTTGAGGTCCCCATCACCACCTGAGGTGTCATCCTGCCTGCTCAGGCAGTGCTGCTGGGGGCTCTTGCCTTCTTCTCGTCTTCCTGCCCCGCCCCAAGCCACTGACCCTTCTCCCCAGTGCTTCTGGCTGGGAAGGTCCGTCTCAAAGTCCCATCTCTTGCACTGCCCTTTGTGGAATTCTAAAGAGGGTTGGCACACAGTAGGCATTGCCAGCTCCATTGAGGGTGGGGCTGAAGGGCAAAGGAGAGGAGATGGTCAGGCCTCTCCCTATGTCCATTCTGCTTGGCTCTGGCTGCCTTTGGGGGGCCCCCCCTTGCAGCCTGTTGTCTGTCATTGCACATTGCTGAAAGCTGTCCTTGGGTCTTGGAGGACCTAAGGTCCAGTCATGAGGGGCCATTGGGAGCCCTAGCCTGAGGACTTAGCTCAGGAAGGAGGGTCAGGTTCCCCCCCCCCCCAACGAAGGCACTGACTTTTAGCCTAGTTTGTCTTCAGGAACCCCATCTAGTTTCTGCCTCAGGGCCTGATTAGGGAGAAGGCTAAATGGAGTGTCCCCCAAGGTGAGGAAGAAAGGGAAGCCCTGGGCCAAAAAGCTCCTCATTGGTGCCCCTCTCCCTTCTCCCCACAGGATATGGGGATCGAGGAGCTCCCCCGAAGATTCCAGGTAATCTAACCTCGCGCCCCTCCCCCCCATTTTGAGTCTGGAGGGAGGCCCGTTTCTGGCCCCTTCCATGCTCTGAAGCCTTATTCCTGTTCTTCCTGCCCTCCCAGGTAGAGCCACATTGGTGTTTGAGGTGGAGCTGCTGAAGATTGAGCGGAGACCTGAACTCTAGCAGAGGGGTTGGGAAGAGAATGGGGAGGGGGGAAGGAAGGGAGGGAAGTCCTTCTCTCAGGGGACCAGACTTTGTTTAAAAAAAGTGAAATAAAAAGCCAAAGGGATTGTGGTGTGTGTGTGTCCTGGGAAAGAGGGGGGGGGCTCAGCTGATGGCCCCCACCGCTGGGCAGGGCCTGCCACCCCACATGCCTTTCCCCTAGGACAGCTGCTGCCGCTGCTGCTCCATCTCCATCCTGGGCAACCTCTTCCTACCTCTGTCTCTTTATTTCAACTGGAAAATGAAGGAATTGGCCTCAAACACCTCAGCAGGCCTTCCCACTGCGCTGTGAATGCTAGCCCCCAGCAGCCCCGGGCTGAGGGGCTCTGGCCTCCTTTCCTACATTGCAGTACCATATTGTAGCACATGGGGGCACTGGAAACCCAGCCTTCAGGCTCCCCCCTCCCCAGGGGGCTTGGGCAGGAGTGCTGGGTGGGAGGCCAAGGAAACTGGCAGCGCTGAAAGGCCTAGGCTGGGTGGGGTGGACAAGGGGGCAAAGGCAATCAGGGTCTAGAGGGCAGAAACCAGATTTGGGGCATGCCAAGAAAAGCAGGGAAAGTCCTAGTTGATTCCTTCAGTCCTAAGTGGGTGGCAGGAGTTGGCACAGTGCCCACATGGCTGAGCCCAGGCCGGAAGCCCAGGCCGGAAAGGGGGCACATGCCTTCCAGCTGACATCAGCACCGCTAACCACCCCTCCCTCCCGCCTTCCCATCCCCAGCCTCCCCAGCCAGGTCTGTCTCCAGTCTGGGGATGGAGCTCTGAGTTGTCACCACAGCAACAGAGGCCTGAGGGGAAGGCTGAAGGCCTCCGGGGGTCAAGGCCAGGAGAAGGACCCCTCTGCTCCAATGCTGTCATCACTCCTCCCTCTCTGGGCCATTCTGGGGGTGCCCAGTGTGGAGGAGATGCTGAATCCCACCCCCCTAGGCACACAGACCAGGCTCAGAATGCACAAAAGGCAGGCCCTGGCTTTATTCAAGGGCCTGTACGGCTGTCGATATAAAAACACAAAAAGTCCCTCAGCTTAATAACAATAAAAAACCCCAAACGGAAACTCGGGGGAGCAGGGAGAAAGGCCCCAAGCAGGGGCTTGAGGGGCCCTCTGCGGGGCACCAGGCCCAGGCAGTAGGGCCCCCCCCTCAAGTATTGCTGTTGCTACGAGGTCAGGGGCAGTAGGGTGGGCAGCGATTGTCCTGGTGGGTAGCCCCCACCTCTCGCCCTAGTCAAGGGGTTAAGGTGGGGGGCGGGGCCTCACTTCTTCTGGGGTGTGCTCAGCTTCTGCATTCCTCGGATCTTGTCTAGCAGGTCAGAGATGAAGGCCTGGTGAGAGACAGAGGCTGAGTCGGGGTGCGGGAGGTCTGGACCTTAGGGGACACTCAGAGTTAGAGGGGATCTGGGACCTAGACCCAGGTGTTCTGACTGTGAAGTCAAAGGCACACTCTTTCCACTAGAGCACACTGTCCCAAGGATGGGGGAGAAAGGCGGGTGGATGGGGAACTGCCCCCCCAACACACACAGGCTCTTACCTCGGTGGGTTTGTAACAGTCAACCAGCAGCTCCTGTGGGAAAGAGAGTCACAGCAGTGAAGCCCATGCTGACTCCCCACACTGGACACCCTCCATGAGCCCAGGCAAGGTTTAGAGCTGCCAGCGAGGGTGAGTGACCTGAAAGTCCAAGCCCTGTATCTGCAGCTGAAGACACGGAACTCTCCAGAGTTGGTTTTTTTGTGTTGGTTTGTTTTTTGGTGAGACAGTCCGAGTAAATGACTTGCCCAGGGTCACACAGCTAGTAAGTGTCAAGTGTCTGAGGCTGGATTTGAACTCAGGTCTTCCTGACTCCAGGGCCGGTGCTCTATCGAGAGTGGGCTCTGGCCCAATGGGGAGGATGTACCACACGGAGCCCTCCCCCACCCCCCACGCTGCACCCCATCCCCCGGCCCACCTTGACTCGGGCGGCCCGGGCGCTGTCACTCTCCATGTCCAAAAGCTCATCTACATCGATCTCCAGCTCAGGGATTTCCTCTTCCTGGGAGAGAGAAGGGGCTGAGTCAGGAGGCAGACCGAGACACCTCTCCTGGGCAGCAGCCCAAGGGCCCCTCCGCCCTTCCCCCTCCTCGTCCCAGCTTCTTTTTGGAAGGTGGAGGGCGGCAGCTTCGGGGATATGCTGGAGACCAGGCTGAGGGGGGACAAAGGGCCAGAGGAGAATCACTGCAGCATCCTGCCAGCAGGCGAGCGGTGGGGGAGCCCCAAAGTGAGGGCAGAAAAGAAAGAAGGCTGGGGGCAGGGGCGGTGCAAGGAGATGGGCTGCTCCTGACAAGGGCCATTCTCCCCTCGGGCACAGGTGCTGCCAGCTGCCTCGCTCGGCTCCTGCTCCCTCCCCTCTTCCCCCCAAACACCTGCCACGAGCTTCCTGCCCAGCCAGCCCCGGCCCTGCGAAGCAGCAGCTGGAGAGGGGAAGGAGGAGGAGGAAGTGAGGAGCGAGAGGGGTCAGAGGTCAGAACTGCAGAAGCCCGGGACCCTTCGAAAGAGGAACAATGGAGGGCTCTGGGAGAGAGGGAGGGAAGGAGCCCCCAAGGCGTTGCCAGACACCCCTTCCAGAAGCAGCTGCATTCCAGGGCCAGGGTGGAAAGGCCGGGGCAGGGCCCCATCATTACCTCCACCCCACCGCACCGCACCCTTGGGTCCCTGACTCATCCCCATGAGCAACCCAAGAGTCATGGGGGAGGGGGCGGGAAGAGACAATGGCTGGGTCCTCACAGCAGCCCCCCTCCCTGACCAGGGCCTCTCCCTGCAGCCCCTTCAATGGCAGGATCAGGAACCTCAGAGATTATCCACGGGGAAGCAAATAAGGGCTGAAGGTTCTTTCCAGCCTCAGGACTCCGAGCTGGCTCAGCCCAGGGCTGAACAAGAAAGAGGGTATGGGGGCTTAACAGCCCCACCCCACCGGATTAGGAAGCCGGGTGCCCCACGAGGGGAAGGGGAGGAGCTGGTTCTCCCGAAGTGGGGTACAAGGAGTCCCGGCTAAGTGGGGCGGGGCGGGTCCTCAGCTGGGAAGGGGGGCACAT